TTTTTTAATATTTTATTATTATTTCTATTCTAACTAGTATATATGAAGATTTGGTGGCTCTATATTATGTTTTTTTGCTCCATAATTGGATGTGTTACTGCTAATGATAGAGTATGTACTGATATTTGTAGGGAAGGAGATCAAGGTTTGCATGACAATCACGTGTTGATTCTTAAAATATAATTATGTAATTTATGGTACTCAACAACAGTCAGTGTGATATTCAGTGAATTAGATTAAGTGATAACTGATATTATTTCTATTTAATAATTGGATTTAAAAAATGAGAAAAAAGACAAAAGGTATATTATACTAGTTATATTTAAAAAAAAGGTGAACAGATATTTACTATATCAATTATTTTTTCTTATTGTATATAAAAAAAAGAATAATAAAAAAATAGTGAAAACAATAAATAAAATTAGATTATAAATAGAAAAAGAATATAAAAAAAGAAGTAAAATGAAATTAGAAAAGGAAAAAAGGAAAAAATAAGAAGAAAATGCGAAAAAAGAAAAGGAGAAAAGAAAGAAAAAAAGGAAAAAAAGAAAAGTATTATAGAAATAAAAAAGAAATGGAGAAAAAAAGAGAAAATTTCCCCAAAAAAACTAGTATGGGTAGGAAATGTAATTAGTTTGATGGGTAAAAAAACAAATGGATATGCAAAGGTAAATTGTTTTGTTTTTATGGGTAACTGTGTCATTCTCCCTATCAAAAACCCAAAAATTTAGCCCAATTCGGATCTAGCCCATAATTCCCAAATACTTTAGAGACCAACGAACGACCTCTGCTTCTTCATCTTCAACCTTCAGCCGTCTCCCTGATTTTCTTCAACCAAAAACACCCAAAACTGAAGAACCCCTCCATAGCTGCCGCTGACCCCGTCCTCTTATTCAACTCACAGGCGACCTCCATGCCGTTTACCAACCAAGCAGCATCCGACGACCAGCCGTACACACCAGACCCAACACATCTCTGCCGAGTTTCTGCTTCTTCTCTTTGACTTCAATTTCGAATTTTGGTTTCAAATTCATGGAGTTCATTTGAGTTTGAAGTTGTTTTGTGATTCAGGCTGATTCGAGGTCGTTGTTCGCGATTCGCCATTCAAGGTTCGGATTCCGTTCTTACTTGCCGATTTTGAAAAATCAAGGTTCGTTTCTATTTCTTGCTCTGTTTTGGTAGGATTGAAAATATGATGTTGATGGCTTAATTAATTTATGATTCTTTTCAACAACCAAAATGGTTAATATTTCTTGTTCTAGTATTTTTCTTCTCCTTTTGTTTTTTTTCGATTATGTTTAGTGCAATGCTAAAATGATGTTAGTTTCTCTAGAAAGGTTCCATATTTGCTTACTAGCAGCTGAAACTCTTATTGCAATTAACATTGTATTAGTACTAATTTGAGAGGATTCTAAAACACTGATTAATTAAGGTAGTAGTAGTAGACTGGATTTTGTTGATTTTGTCGTTTGTCTTACTAATTATTTGAATTAATATTTTGTTGATATTTGTTCCGTTTTGGTTGAAAGTCTAATGTTTTTGGTTTGTTCCATTTTTGTGATTGTTTGGATTACAGTATGGGGGTCTAGAAGTATGAATTCACTATAAAAATGCATTGTCAGAATTGAGATTAGAGATATAAATTCAAATTCATCGTATCTTTCATATCATGTCTGATTGTGTATTTTTGGTTTTGTTACTCACTTGGATAATGCAATAAATGAGAAACTTCTGCAAGTTCTTTAACTTATTAGTTAGTACATGGAAGAAAGTTTGCAGCAATTGTTTTTAACTTCCACAAGGTTAGACATTTTCTTATCATGCATGTGTTGCTACTTAGTGAAGGATTGATTTTCTTTAAATATCTTTTTTTTTTTCCTTTTGCATCACCCCTTATGTCATAATGGGGCTTTGATTAATTCCAAGTCTATCCAACAATCTTACTGTAGAACCTTAGAAGCTTACCGATAAGTGTTGTTGAACTTTTGTTGTTATGTTGGCTCTCCTAATGAATTGCCAATATGCGGGTCAATTGCTTAGTTGGAAACTGTACTGGGTCATGTCAGCTTTTTGTTCTTATATATAGTTTATTTGTCTTAAATATTTTATAGTTTTATTAATTGTCGGAAAGATATATCATCACATATAGGTAAAGGTAATTGGCATTTTCGGGCATCAAGAATGAAAATTGAATTCATGTATGTTAATTATATTATTTGATTTGCTTGGATTGCTAGAGGCATGTTTAGGTCGTCACCATGTGGGTAAGCAAACTTTTCGGCGAGTAAGTAATCATCGTGACTATGGTACAATTCCCGTGACATAGTCATGATACATAAATCTAAATTCGGGTGTACATTTCATGTGACCCGACCATAATTTTGAATACTAATAAAAATACACACGTTGTAGATCGTGGGTACGATTCCCCTGACGCGATTCGCAATGTTTACCAAAACGACAAGTGTACGACAATCGTGCCTTGTTCCAGAAAATATTTTCTTAAATAATTAAAAGCAGTAGAAGTTAAAAATGCACGTAGGTTTAAAATGTGTAATTAATCAGTTAATTAGGCCAATATTAATAGTTGAGTGACCGTGCTAAAATACGGAACTCGAGAATGCCTAACACCTTCTCCCGGGTTAACAGAATTCCTTAACCGGATTTCTGTATTCGCAGACCATAAATAAGAGTCAACTTCCTCGATTCAGAATTTTAAACCGATGACTTGGGACACCATAAATTATTCCAAGTAGTGACTCTGATTTTGAATAAATAATCTCGTTTCGATTATTGTCACTTTAATTGGAAAAACTCCCTTATATCTTTTTGGGGTAGAAAAAGGAGGTGTGACAGCCCCTCGGCGAACATCACTCGTGAACAGCCCCTCGGGAAAACATGAATCATAAACAGCCCCTTAGGCAAACCTCACAGTCACTCATATATAGCCATCAGGCATTACCTCACAATCGCTCGTAAACAGCCCCTCAGGCACAACATGAATCAAGAACAACTCCTCGGGCAAACTCATTCAGGGTACCTGCGCTTACTGGGGGTGTACAGACTCCGGAGGGGATCCTACAGCCCAAGCACTATAACAAGCCACCTCGTGGCATAAATCAATCAGGCCCTCAGCCTCATAACAAGCCACCTAGTGGCATAAATCAATCAGACTCACGGCTTCACAAAAATCATGAATCAATAACATGCTGCGGCATGCAGCCCGATCCCATAATATCCTTACAACACAAGCCCTCGGCCTCACTTAGTCAGAAACCTCTCAAGCCACTCGGGCCATCAGTAAAACAGGGTGCTCAGCTCAAAATATCATTTTATGCATAAAAACGGAGTAATAAAGACTGAGTTATGAAATCAGTAAACATAGCATGACTGAGTATAGATCTTAAATAAAAAACAGTGAGAGGATAATAAGAAAAAGCCCCTAAGGGTCTAAACAGCTCTGGCACAAGGCCCAAATATAGCATTCAACCCAATTTATAGAAAATTCTTTCTAAATACATAAGTATCATATAATTTAAGTCAAATACGCAACTTTATAATTGCTACGGGACGGACCAAGTCATAATTCCCAACGGTGCACGCCCACACGCCCATCACCTAGCATGTGCGTCACCTCAAAATAGTAAAGCAATGTGAAATCCGGGGTTTCATACCATCAAGACAAGATTTACAATCATTACTTACCTCAAACAACCCAATTTCAATACCGAGCAAGCCAAGCGATGCTCCAAAAAATACCATCTCGCGCGTTCCGACCTCCGAACGGCTCGAAACTAACCAAAAATAACTCAAATACATCAAATAATGCTAAAGCAACCAATCCCAATCGAAAAAGGTCGAATCTTTAATCAAAAGCCCAAAATTTGCCAAAAAGCCCAACCCGGTCCCACATCTCGGAACCCGACAAAACTCACAAAATCCGATAACCCATTCAATTATGAGTCCAACCATACTAGTTTCATCCAATTCCGAATCCGAATCGATGTTCAAAATTTAAAAATTCACTTTATGAAACTTTAGGCAAAAATCCCAAATTTCACTTTGAAATTATCAATCAAATGCCAAAAATGAAGGTGGATTCATAAAATATAACCAAAACCGAGTAGAGAATACTTACCCCAATACATATGGTGAAAATTGCCTCCAAAATCGTCCAAATCCGAGCTCCCTTATTTTATATATTTTTTTGCTAGTTATTCTGCCTTGATTCTCATGTCAAACGATCCTGAAACTCGCTTTTGATGCCTCCAATGAATTTCTTGTGAAATTTTAGTCAAGTTAAGCTCTTGAATCACTCCATTTGACCTTATATTGAAGGAGATATGTTGGTTTCAATATTTGAAAATAGTGCAGATTTTTAAATATGAATTCAGTGGCAATTTCATAATTAATCTGAAAAAAAGCTGGCAACCCAGTTCTTAGTAAAATGACCATAAAATTCTCATACGATGTCAAAAATTCTTTTTGTTATGGTTCCGTAATTACGATACGGATCTAATACTTCAATAAAAACAGAAATCGGAGCTCATTTGCTTAATGTAGTACCATTTATGCTTAAAAAATAACGTCGAAACATCAAAAACGAGCAAAACACAACCCAAACCTATCCGAAACTCACCCGAGCCCCTCAGGACCTTGTTCGAACATACCAACAAGTCTCATATCATAACACGGACCTACTCGAGGCCTCAAAACACATATAACAACATCGAAACGATGAATCACATCTCAATTCGAAATTAATGAACTTGAAACTTCAAACTTCCACAACCAATGCTTAAACCTATCAAATCATGTCCGATTGACCTCAAATTTTGTACACAAGTCACATTTGACATTATGGACCTTCTCCAACTTCCGCAATCGGAATCCGACCCCGATATCAAAAAGTCCACTCCCGGTCAAACTTTCCAAAATTTCAACTTTTGCTATTTTAAGCCAAATTCTACTACGGACCTCCAAATTACAATCCGGACGCGCTCCTAAGTCCAAAATTACCCAACGGAGCTAACAGAACCATCAGAAATCCAATCCGAGGTCAAATTCTAAAAAGTCAAAACTTGGTCAAACCTTTCAAATTTAAAGCTTCTAGCTGAGAATCATTCTTCCAAGTCAATTCCGAATAACCTGAAAATAAAAATCGACGATTCACATAAGTCATAATACTTCCTACGGAGCTACTCATGCCCTCAAACAATCGAGCGAAGTCCAATTGATCAAAACGACCGGTCAGGTCGTTACATCCTCCCCCACTTAAACATACAATTCGTCCTCGAACATACCTAGAGTTGTTCCTAAAGCCATCAACTCGCTGTATATTCTCACTATGCACATACCCGGGGGTGATCCCACGTCACCCTATCCCATATAGGTCTGATAACACAATATGACTAAAATTTCTTAATCCAACCTAGTCCATAAGTTTTAGGGCCCAATTTCCAACATCTGAAATTTTTTATAAGATCAGAACCTCGCATCTACACAGTGTATAAGTCCGAACAAGCTGTATCAAACCATATCCGTAACCCAAGATGTAATCACATGATATACCACATAACTCAAACACTCATGGCGATAACTTCTATTCATAATAGCTGCTCAAAACAATCCAATACCGGTAATACACCTCTTATTAAACAAAGCCTCGTTCTAACACTTTCATATACTGCCAATGATGAAAGAAACACGCAGAAACTCATAACCATTTGTCAGATAAACAAATCATGGAGCTCCCTCTTCTCCGACATGATTTATAGCAGATTTCTAAGTCGATTTCCGATATTATCCTTCCAACCATACTGTAACCAATTCTGATAGTCTTCATTCTAGGTCCAATGACCTCATCTCATCCAACACTACCACTCTGATGACATGACACATCAATACAATCCAAATCCATAACCTGTGCAACTCGTGCACCCAATAGCAACATCCCAAATGTACTCAAATAATGAAAAAAAATGACTCAAACGAGAGGACTATCCCGCAAGCTTAACAAGTATTGCCACAACGAAATACTGAAAATCCATCACACCCCGTAGGACCATCACATGAATCTAACACAGGTTCATACCTCAACATAATTCCGCTGCAATGTGTGCCCTATCCAAACACTAATCCATGGCATATACCTCAAGCCACCTTGCTCAAAATCAATAACCACGCGCAACGACATCAAGTACTAAAAGTGCATTACCATAACCATGGAAAAGCAAATGAAATAACGCCACACAAAATTCGAAAGAGCATAACCAATATGCCATCCACTAAGCAATATCCAATACTCTTCCCCCTCAAATTCGCTACAAGACCCCAATAGAACCGCATCATATGTGCATATAACCAACAAATCATAACCCCTCGTAATATAGAAGACTAGCTCATAGATCACTCCAGAACACGAATAAGCTCAACAACAATCGAATGGCACATCCCTCAACAATAACAGTTTGGAGTCAACAAATCCGACCCGGTACAGAACACTCCTCCATGTTGGGCCTACCAATGAACCCCAAATCAACTCTGGTCCCCCATGATAGATAAATATCCCTCCGAAAGTCTACAATGACTGAATCACAACACATACTAACCTCTAACTAACCTTGGCTACTTTTTACGGTCCACAACCACGAAACAATCTACTCACGAGAACTCCCAGTCTCTAAATCCATAGAACATACGAATCACTATCTCTGATCTCAACTCCACCGCCTGAATGCCCACACTTCTCCAATTACATAGTCACCCCACGAGGAATACTTCTAAAATTCTTCTATGTCACAAAGCAAAATTTGAACTCCAACAGTCGATCAAACAAGAGAGTGCCGCAATACCAATGAAGTATCCATAACTCCCACACATCGCCCTTTTTTGAAATGTATACTCTCATCAAGCCATACCAATTAGTAATATCATTTACCTAGTCATCAGAAACTATCCATGCTGCCTAAGAATTTATGACCTTCCTTTCAGA